CCCTATTTTTTATTGATAATGCAAATTGAAAAAAAGCTATAGTAATAACCATTCAACCTTTGACCATAAAAAAAAGTTAAAAGTTTTGGAAGACAAGTTAACAAAAGCGACATTCAACTACATAAATGGAGGGGTTTTATCATAGTTCTAATCTCGACAAATTACAAAAACAAATACATCAAACTCCGATATTCTAGTAATTGAAGTGTTATTCATCCCTATAATCACATTACGCCTTGTAATATTGACAGAAATCCTCTTTGCCTTGAAATTTTCTTCACTTGATTAAAGCTTCTCTAGTCTTCCACACAAAAATTGTATCACGCATAAATATTTCTATGAAAATACTATTAAAAATTTTCATAGAAAGATTTGTATTTATAGGGAAAAAATATAGTTTTGGAATATGAAGATTGACTTACAAAGTTGAAAGGTCAAGTATTATTATAAATTAAAGACAAATATTAATTAAAAATATAAATTAATTTGGAAGATGAAACACATACATGTATCTATTCAAAGGGATAACTCTTATTTTTAATTTTTGTTCTATTTAATTTACTCACATGTATACCAATTAAATAAAAATATTATAGAAATTCTACTATTTACTATTTAATTGATTATTTATTTAATAACATTTGAATTTAGCATAAGGATAAAATTGTAATTCAACTTTTCTACTTTGGAGCTTCCCACTTATAATAATATATGATATATATATATATATATATATATATATATATATATATATATATATACTATATATATATATATATATATATATATATATATATTAATGGTTATTGGAAGTTTTTTTGTTTGTATCAAGTTGTCATAATTATGCCTCTTTTTTGTTCGATCCATTTGTTTTTATAAACCATAAGGACTAATAACCAAATCGAAGTTTAATTAATCTGCCCTTAAAGTTATTCTTTTAAAAATATATATAAATTGAAAAGTATATGTACGAGGAGAATTATAAAATACGAAATGGAATGGAGGAAGTTAATGAATCCTACTTTGGAAAGTTTATTTTTGAAAATTAGAAACTACTATATATACTTTCTTTTTTCAGTTCATAGATATAAAAATTGAAGTTTGAGGTTGATAACTCAATTTAAATCTTGATTTTTAAATTCTTGCATTACATATGTATCCTTATTAATAACATCATAGAGAGTATTATAAACTTTGTGATGATCATAGAATATATATCTAATTTTTTCTAGCTCTTATTTCTTCGTACTTGTTAAATAGTAGGGGTTTGTTACATCATTAAGAAAACGAGGTAAAGGTCTAGCCTCCGTTGCTTGTATTTTTCTCTTTGAGGTTTCTATTTTTATTGTTAAAAAGAGGTAGCGTTAAGGCACCCCACCTAGTGAATTCAGAAAAAAAAAAACTTTTATTTATCTACTATACTAAAAATAAATGTTCATTTTTACTTGTTCTGTTTGAAAATCAAGAAATAATTTATCATAGTATACATATGTTTTTTCACTATTTAGATGACTTGTAATAATGATGTATAAAAACAACATATTCCGTGGATTCCCACAAAGACTCGCATACGTATTTCTGAGGTAGAGAATCTATTTCGAATAGACCCTCGCCTCAAGACATAAACAGACAAAAGATGTAATGAAATAAGAGATTACAGGTAGTACACAAAACAACGTACAATAGTAGAACTGTACTACAACCAAATAATACTACCACATATAGAACCACACGAAACAACAGATATCAAAAAAAAAAACAAGCATATAGAACTATGACGGCTAGCATAGGCGCCAAAATAATGCACTCACACCTGCAAGCTAGGTAACACTCTTACGAAGTAACATTCTACCCTAATTTACGTCTTTCATATCTTTCTATCATAGGTCATGTCTATGATAAGTCATAATTGTGTCATTTCTCTTATCTAATCATCGTTTCTCAATACTTTTTCAGTTTACTTCTACCTTTCTTGAATTCGTTCATAGCCAACCGCTCACACCTCTACACTGAAGCATTTGTGCTTCTTCTCATCAAATGTCTGAACCATCTGAACCTTGCTTTCCGCATCTTGCTTCAACCAAAATAACTCCCACCTTTCCACAGATATCCTCATTCTTAATTTTATTTCTCCTAGTAAACTCACACATCCATCACAATATCCTCTCCTCCGCCACCTTCATCTTCTTAATGTGAAAGTTCCTGATTGGCTAACACTTTGATCCATACAACAAAGTTGGTCTAACCACCACTCTTTAGAACTCGTCTTTTTCTAAGTTTAGGTGACTCGTTTTTATTACACGAGACTTTAGATGCAAGTCTCTAATCACCCCCCTTGTCCAAATACAGTGAGTGACATCCTCATTTATTTCTCCATCTTCCTGGATAATAGACCTAAGATACTTGAAACTACCTCTTTTTTCGGATGGACTGTGTGTCAAGTCTCACTTTCACATCTGCCTCAAACGTCACCTCACTAAACTTGCACTCCAAATATACAGACTTGGTCCTGCTTAACCTTAACCCTATAGACTCCAAGATCCATCTTCAAACCTCTAACTTAGAATTAACTTCCTTGCATGTCTTGCTAATCAGAATATGTATCTATGAATAACATATACCAAGAAATCTCACTTTAAATCTGTCGCATCAATGTCCATCAACAAGGCACAAATAAAAAAGGGCTAAGGGTTGATCCTAGGTGCAACCCCATCAATAGGGGAAAGTTCTCCAAATCTCCTCTCAATGTTCTTACTCGAGTCTTGATTCCATCGTGCATGTCCTTAATCGACCTACTGCGCGCCATAGGTACACATCTAGTCTGCAAGTACCTCAAAATAGAACCTCCTTAGGGATTGTCTTAAGCCTTTGTAGGTCGATGAACATCATGTATAAGTTTTTTCCTCTCCCTATATTGATCCAATAGAATCCTTATGAGATGAATGTCTACTGTAGTCGAGCGTCCTAACATATATCGAAACTGATTCTCAAAAATAGTCATGATCCTCTTCAATCTCGACCCCACACTCTCTTCCAAACTTTCACCGTATGACTTAGCAATTTGATGCCCCTATAGTTATTGCAATTTTGAAGTCAACTTGTTCTTGTACAATTGAATCATCTTACTCCATCTCCACACTTAGGGCATCTTCGTCATCTTGAAAATGACATTAAACAGCGCAGTAAGCCACTTCATACCTACCCCACACGTGCTCTTTCAAAAATTCATCGGAATCTCATTTGGTCCAATAGTTCTACCCCTACGCATCATACAAATAGCATCATTAACCTTCTCAACCTTTATACACCTACAATAACCCTAATGATGACGCCTATTTGAGTTCTCCAAGTCCCCCAACACAATAACCTTTATACGCCTACAATAGTAAAGAGAGGTATTGCCAAGTCAAACATGGACAGAAAGAGTATTCAAATACGAAATACTAAATGCTTATAAGTCATAAAGTCACAAATTGGAGGTGACAAACTTATGACTTTTGTGTGTTTACCAAATACATGGATAAGTTTTAAAATATTTATAAGTTAGTATGATTAGCTAATAAGCTTTACCCAAACGCCTTCTTAACATAGACAACTACTTTTTACTTCCTCAATTCTTTTTATAGATTTGGAGTTCTTTTCTGTAGGTTGCTACACTAGCCCCTAATGTACCAGCAATACAAGAGCTGCATGTTGCAACACCAATGGCTGGAGCAGTTCTTTGTACATTAAACACGCGTCATGATTCAGCTATGATATCAACACGTATAATGCATTCAGAAGCAAAAATCATATTTGTAGATCAACAGTTTCTCCAACTTGCTCAAGAAGCACTTTCTATTATTTCTAGCAAGAACACCAGACCACCTCTTCTTGTTGTAATAATGTCAGAAAATTCTAACAATTCCATTATTAACACTTGGGATTATGAAAGTCTCCTTGAAAGTGGGGACAGAGATTTTGCTATTAGGAGGCCAACAGCAGAATTTGACCCTATTAGCATTAACTATACTTCTGGAACAACATCAAGACCCAAAGGAGTTGTTTTCGGTCATAGAGGTGCATACCTCAATTCTATTGCCACATTTTTGGCTCATGAGATGAGCACACTTCCTATTTATCTTTGGATTTCACTGCAATGGATGGTGCATGATATGGGGTCTAGCAGCAGTAGGTGGCACTAATGTTTGTCTCAGAAGTGTATCTCCAAAAGAAATATTTGAAAGTATTTCACTGTAGAAGGTGACACATATGGGTGGTGCACCTACTGTCTTGAACATGATAGTGAATACAGCGTCATGTGACCGGAAACCACTTCCACACAAGGTGAAGATTATGACAGGTGGTTCACCACCACCACCACAAATCATTTCAAGAATGGAGGAGTTGGGTTTTGGAGTAAATCACTTTTATGGACTAACGGAGACACATGGTGCAGGTATGAGATTAATTTCACGTATGATCACTCAACTTTACCCAATATAACAGTTTAATCTTATAATGGTAAAGTTCAGTTACTTAAATGAGACGAAACATTAGACCGGATAATTTGCCTCATTACATGGCACCTCGGACACTTATATTTCAGGATCTCGCAAAAACTTCAACTGGAAAGATACAGAAATCTATCCTAAGGGAGAAAGCAAAAGCCTTGGGCAGTCTTTTCTAAAGAAAAAATGAAGAAGCCACTTGGCTTGCTTCTTTAAAGGTCATTTTCTAAACTTTTACCGCCACTTTGTTCTATACTTATTCTATATTTTGGTAATAACATTCATTGTAACTTCAAGTTTATGTTCCAGCAAGAGAAATGTTCTGTTCCACAAATTGGGATACACTGTGATAAGACTGGTAAATTACACCTATAGTGTAAAAGTAATTAGACTATCATGTCATTTAAAAATTGCTTATAGGTGATAATACATCATGATTGGAGTTAGTAACCTGAAAAATAAAGCAAGCAAGCTTCTTTAGCATATTGAATTACACTGCTAGTATCAAAATTTGGTTAAAGTGACTGTAAATATAAGTAAAATCCAAAAAATAAAACAAATTTTATCATTCTATTGACTAGGTTGGATAGCTAATAAGTACTATGGTTTAATGGCTAGCTATTCAGGATGAATATGGGATTATCCACCCATGAATTTTGTTTTACCATCCCCCACAAACATCAAGTCTTCCACTCAATTTGGTCTACACATAGAAGAACCATGTGAAGATTCTTCTTTCATTTATTTGTGAAATGAAATTTACAGGGTATTGGTTGCTGTATACAAAGTTTGTAAGAGAATAGAAGTCCTACGGTTTGGGTAGCATAGTAACAGATGATTTTACTTGGTAAGGTGAAGTTGAGAAAGTTTACACCATAGCTGATTTATGTATTCAATCAACTTTTTTGGTCAGTAGTGCAATTGTAGCTCCATTTCCCTAAAAGATTTCACTTCATTCGAAATGCCTGTAGCTTCTCATCTCAAAGCAGTCCTATGATGATGCAACCTAGAAAATGGAAGTACATAAGAACTCGTGACAAAAGATTAGAATAAATTTATGAAAGGCAAAAATACAAATGTTTCCAATGTCGCATAAGAAGGAGAGGGCAATGTAGTAGTAGCTATATGCTTTCTAGCAGATGTTTTCATCTTATTGCTGCATAATGGGACTGCTGGTTGAAACAAAAATTTAATCAGTCCTCCCGCTTCCCTCTCCCTTGACAAACACACACACACCCCATCCTGCACAATTAAAGATTATGATACAACCAGGCTCTTCTAGATAATGAAAAGAAACCAAGTAGGACACTTGTTAAAATGCCCTGCACTGGTTGAGGAGATATATTGTTGTCCCTTTATATGTTTTTGGGCAATCTTTACCTCATGATCATGAGTTACCTTTTGGGGTTTAGTTAGGCTCAAGGTCTATTTTCTTACCATGGTATAAAAGCCACACCATCCCTATTCTTGGTTTATCCAATATTCTGCTCTCATATTACACTGTCCAAAGTTGGCGCATAAGGGGAGGGGGAGTGTAAAAGTGTCTCATATTTGGTGAGGAAATGAACAGTCATCTCCTAATATGATTTTGGCAATCCTCTCAACGCATAAACTAGCTCAGGGTTGGGTTATGTCCAAGGTCCATTTTCTTCATAACATTGACCAACTTTGTCCCCAACCTAATGTCACTGTACAAGTATATAAATCGATTCACATGTTGCCAAGTATCTGGATTGCCTCAACTGCCAGGATATAGTTACAGTATGCACTTCTATCATATTTTTTTTCGTCCTCTTCTTTTGTTTGTGTGCGCATGGGGGTGGGTGGGTGGGTTGTATATGTTATTCAGAGCTACACATGCCAGCGTTTCAAAGGAATAATCAGCGCATCAACATTAGTGCAAGTTGTAACCTGACTAGAACCATAATGAAATATAGAGTAAACTGACCTCATTTTCTTGTGAGTCCTGTAAGAACCACCATGGACCATTTTTAGCTGATAATCTGAAATAGATGCATGAATTATGAATTTTACTAACAGAATGACGCAAAGGTCTTTAACGGAGAGTACTTCAGAATGTACATGTGACTACCCCTCAATGCTCTATGATTTAAATTCCACAAAAGATCCCTTATCAACCTAGAGTCAACTGTTCCACCTTCCTCCAAAAAACAACCAAATAAAATTGCAGATTTGAAAAGTAAAAAGAGAATTTTTTGGTCTATATATTTCCTTTGCAAAAGAGATCTGCATGAACTTGAAAATACAGATGTGAAGAGATTCCGGGGACAAGTTCAGTAGATTTATGGGGAAATTGACATTTTAAAAAGGTCCAATTCAATATAGTAGTTCATAATCTGTACATTAGTTTATTTGGTAGTTTGAATTACCTCATGAAACCAGCCACTGAGCGCAACCCCATGAAAATAGTCAAACCAGACCAAACACCAGGAAGTCCAATAATAGGAGGAGCATAAATCAGAAATATTGAAGCGAGAGCACCCACGATCATCTAGAAAGTTGTGAGGAAATATCAGCACCAAGGTTCGAGCAGGAAAGTAACTTTTCTTTTAATTGTTGCAACAATTTTATAGATTTTGCTTACCATTGAGATAGCTGCATATGGAAAATCCGAAACACCATAGTGTAGCCCATCAAAAATATAGGCTAGAGCATTTAGGGGTTGACTGGCACTAACAAACTGTAAAATTGGACAGGAGATGTTGAGCAAGATACCATGAAAGAAACATATAAACTAAGTGCAGAATTAAAAAAGAGCATACCAGTAAACCAGATCTAACAATGTCTAGCACTTGAGAGTCATTTGTAAAGCACCTCGCGAAAGATGGAAAGGATAGACCCAATATAATGGCTAACAAAATTCCAGTAGCTAATCCTGTCTGAAAATATCAATTGCACTTTGTTAAGAACTTTATTTCGAGACAGATAAGGATGGCTCAAATCCTTCCATCTCGAAGAGGAGAGCTATAAGATGCAAAAAAGGTCTATCTAACCTTTAAAGCTACATGTGTGATCAACTTAACTCTGCCATAGTCCTTCCTTGCAAAAGAACTTGCAATGAGAGCCTGCAAAATGGAAAATGGAAATCTATATTTGTCAAACAGTAGAACTGATGAAGATTTCTGCAATGAGGACATATTCATGCTTTGATGTTTTGCAGAAGATCTCGTACAGGAACACAACCACGGTGAACAAACCAAAAGGTTAAGTAGAAAAAATACAAAATAGTCGTGGTGCAGTGTAAACAGATGTGCATGTAATTCCAACAACATGAATAAAAAAAGGTTTAGTAATCGTAAAAAAAAAAAGCTAACAGTCAACTGAAGTCTGTTGAGAACTACAGACTTGCCCACCAGGTCTCTTAGTTGTGACAAAGAAATGTTCCAAGGGAAGGTGCCTTTTATATCCATCACCATGCAGATATAATTGCTAACTCATTCATATTGGGAACAAATGAAGGGTCTTAGAACTTCAATAGTGTTTACCTGACCAGATGCAGCTTGGGCATCTGCCAGTAGCGAGGCAGACAACCATACTTGCAAGCATATCTGATGGGCAGCCATGGGTATTGCTCCTAATCGAGCCGCCATTGATGTGCTCAAAGTTACTGTAAGAACAGCAGCTAGAGTTCTCCCAAGAAGGAAACCACCTAATGACACACGAAAGTTCAAACCTTTACTCTCTGAGACACTAACACGAGAATGCAGACTCTCAAATAATACCTGGACTAGCTCAATTACAAGAACATCATTTCTGATGAACTAATCATCAGAAAGGCTAATAATTGAAATTTGATTTCAGAGTAGAAAGAGTTAGATCAAATTACAAGTGTTCAAGTTATCTTTTTGTTTCTTTCAAGAATTTCCAGAAGTTGCATCTAAAGTAAAACAAAATGAAAGCATCACTACTAGTACATTGAAGCATTTTTTCTCCTTGTAGGAACTAAGTTTCTAGCCCATGTAGTTGTTTTACAACTCTTCCAGAGAGGAACTGTAACTATAATCTCTAGTCTGCAATATTCTAAGAAGAGACTAGTTTAAGCCAAAGTAATGAAACGTCCAAAAGCATTTAGCTACTCTGAAGGAAAAGAAGGGTACACATAACAAACATGTCAACAGCACTTGAGATTTTATTTTTTATCATCATGCAATAACATAAGAAATTATATACAACGGCTCAGACAATTTGGAACACAAAACATGTCCAACGGATTAATTAACTTAACAACATCACTAACCAGATTTCAAATAGCCACCAAAGTGTAAGTTCCTAATGTTTGGTTGCAGCAACACTGTCTTTTCATTAAGCTTCCATAACATCAAAATGGCCACGATATATCTGCAATTTAAAGTCGTCAGCTTCTTTTCGCCAGATGTTATAAGAGAACAAACTAGAACTTTTCAGGAAACATACTGAGATGCAACAGTAGAAATGGCAGCACCAGTGATGCCCAGTTGAAAAGTATACATGAAGATGGGAAAGAAAAGTACAGCTGACAGATTCCCCAATCCTGCGACATCCACACATTTTCTACCAGTTAAAGTTAAGAGTCTTAGAGAAAAGAAATTAGAGGATATTGAAAGAATATCTAGTTATTCATAACTTCAAACAAAATAAAATGCATGCTCAACTAATAGAGAAAGAATCAGTTTAACTTCTTTCATGCAGAGTAGTATCTGGAGGAGGTTTCTTCCTCTAGTGTATATAGCTAGTGACACGACATACCAAAAGGTAAATCACTACTTCTCCAAGAGCTCTGTTTTCCCAGATACACGTCACCAAAAAATTTCTGTTGTGATCTGTTCCTATGATTGATCGGTACATGACTTGACACTGAACATGTCATTCTTACATAAAATAAAATAAAAATAAGTGCTCTTCTTATATGTGGAGATATATTGAAACATATACAATAATGTATCCACAATCCTAAAAACTTAGTTACACGCATTCATCTAATGATTCCAAACTGCTATTTGAAGGCATGCAATGGAACAGACAGAACCTTTCTCAAGATAAGTGTTAGCAAAAATGCAAAGTAGACAAAAAGTATTACATGAAAAAACGAAAAGTTGATTGAGTTAGACCAAGGAGTTCTATATACTGTATAAACCAAAGAGATTAAAACCCAAGTCTTAAAAACTCTTTCATTGAATATTGTGCCAATAGTTAAGAAGACTTGCCTAAGCACATTACAGGGGTCCTTGTGTCCTTAAACCCACGGAAGATGCCTTGCACAGCCAGATAAAGCACAACAGCTGGAGCACCAAGCGCTCTAAGTTTAAGAAAATGCTCTGCTGGAATGCGCATGGTTGAATCCTGTTGAAAGGGGTTCAAGATTCTAGTTATCATAATGCAATTTCAATCTGCAAGCATATACAAGGCCTGTGATTGGGAAGTATACAAGCTTAAAAAATAATAGCATCTAAACAGCACATCAGGCTGTCCAAATGTATTTCAGCACGGGTTACTTACCGTTGATAAACCCATGATGCTGAGAAATGGTCCAGAACCGAGATACATTGCTGCAGCTTCAATCAAACCGATCCCAGCAGATAAAACTAAGGCAGTGGAGACAGACGGAAGTGCCTTTCTTTCAGCTGTACAGGAAACACTTGGTTCTTTCAGATGCATTCAAATAATATTATCTTTTAATTGTTTACCATCTGCCTAAATACACAGGTGAATGTGTGACCCTGTATATATGTGTAATCTAAGAAGTTCCATGCTTAAAAGGAGATTCCCTTATAGCACCTATGCAAATTTACCAGCAGTGTTATCCTCATCTGCATACTTAGAGATGTCTTCAGCCACAAAAGACGTTGCCACACTCAGGAGAGGGATATTGAACACCTTTGATATTATGTTAAAGATTGATACAGAAATGCCAGCTGATGCCAACTCCAATGCACCTTTAATCAAAGCAAAGAGCTTTTCAGGAGTGAACTGGCGTTCATTGTTTCCATTAAAACACTTATTCAAAGAAAAAGTCGAAAGATGAAAAATATTATCCAAAGATTTGATTTAAAAAATATGAAGCCCATGCTAACTAATATAATTGAAAACAAAGACTTGAAATCTAAGGGGAACTTCTGTTCCTCAGTAAAGAACTCAAAAAAGCAATTGCTCGAAAGAATGCACAAAATCTCGAAGTTGAGTAGAACAAAATCAAGAGGATTGGCATTTAACAGATTTTCTATGTATCCTTGAAGTTCTTCAGATGAATAGGTAACAAGTTAAGGTCATAAGACCCACCAGATTAGAACAGTATACAGTGTAATATACAGGAAAAATTGATCTCCGGCTAGATCAGATGAATCACACTCCTCTCAACAACAGGAAGAACTGAAGTCGTACCGTCTCACATAAATTCCACAGAATAATCCAAGATGATAAGAAGCTCAACAGAAACGAAAACCAGCATAATAAAGATATAATCTCAGTGAAATCAATTAATTAGTGTATTTAGCACACAAGCAAATACAACATTCTCAAAAGAGAGAAGTACACATAAAACAGGACAGTACTAGCAGTACAATGCAAGCAGAAGCATAAACTAAATGGAATATCGGACAATAACTAACCCATTCGTCCAATATAAGCTGTCTCCATTAGTTGTGCCAATGGTTCAATTGCTTGTCCAGCAATAGCAGGCAAACAAAGCACTATAAGCTCAGTTTGTACATCCTGAGTTGGCGATTGATCAATAGATGTCCCTGACAATGCACTGAGCTCTAAAATTTAGCAGAAGGAACGGATGACAATAGACCCTCACCGATACCACTAAACTCAATGTTTAGGTAGAATTTTCCCATGAATCTAATTTTCATAACAAAATCATTTTTTTTTATGGTGGTGAGCCAAATGCACTTAACAAGATATATTAAACACTCTCTAATACCCTTTATATAAAAAATCACCAAATGTACACAAGGTTCCAAACTCCTAAGTAAAATGTAAATCTTACATAGCTCCTTCATTTGAGAGTCGATCTCCAAATTTCTCTTCAAGATTAGAAGAATCTAGGTTGTAATCAACAGCTTTGCCGTCAGTGGATAACCCACAATTTCTAATAACATTGTTCAATTTAGACCTCTTGGTAGATGTTGATCCAAGATAATTGTTCCATGTTGAAGAATTAACTAAAAAGGGTTTGTTTAACGTTCTTCTTGCTGCACATTCTGTACCATTAGTTCTTCCGCACGTTACTGCAACTGGTAGCTTAAGCACTGCCATTTCTGCTCAAATGCAGAGCCGTTTCTGCAAAATTCAAACACATTTGCTCACAATTATCACTTCATAAGTGCAATTTCAGATCTCAATCAAACCCAAATACATAAAATTGAAAGAGGATGATAGTACCTTGTAGGAGTGAAATAAAAATAAAAAACCAGAAGAATCTTTGAAGAGAAGAGAATAATATACAAATTTGTATGGGAAAACGTGCTTATGTGATATATAATGGTTTGGTGAAATTGTGGAGGAAATGAAAAGTGGTAGGTGGACTGTGGACTCTCTTTCTCTTCACTTCACTCGCGCCCAAATGTGTCCCATTGGAGTTTGCCAAGTCTCAATTATAATATTTTTAAAGTTATTATTAGGGATGGCAGCGGGTACAAAATTTCAATCCATTCTGGCTCACTCTGTTTGAATATTCTTAATCTATATCGCCCTGTCCCTAAAGATCTGCCCCACTACTTATGTTATATTTTATTTTATTTTTTCTTTATTATGTAATATTTTTAAAATAGTAATGTTTATTTTATTTTTTAAACAACCAAGATCTAGTTGGTGGCTTTATCTCATACTTAAATATGCCCTCCTTCCACCTTTTGGTTTAAAAATGCAATGCCCTTAACATTTTTATAATGTTTAAATTTGCCCTTTTTTAACACCACAAATGATGAATCATTTAATTAGATAAATGATTTGATCTTATTGGTACACCTAATTTTTTTAAGTCCAGCCCAACCCATTTATGCTACAAAACTTCAAACCCACCCAAGAACCCATTTACATATTAAACCACCCAGAAACGTCTTCCTCCCATACTTGTATTTTGTTTGGAGAAAGGCAAATCTCACAAAGCATACTCCTTCCTTCTGCCCAGGTGACATTAATTTTTCACTCCTCTTTGTGCAATTGTTTTCCCCAATCAAAATCATTCTTATTAAAATTGAATCGCTAAGAGTTGTGCAACACAAAGTAATTACTTGGTAAATCACTCATAATTATATTCTACTTGGAACAACATAGTATTGAAACTTCAAGTGACTACCTTGAATTCTACATCGAAGAAATGTTGAGCATTATCATTTTGTAGTGAGTTTCTAACGAAGAAATTTGAATTCTAAACGACTAAAATTTCAAGATAGCTTCTTCAATATATGAAACAAATTGAATTCAAAAACTTGTTTACAATAGAAGTAGAAAACCTGTCGAATCTTCGTTCGTTATTTATCGAAATTCAAGTCGTAATCAAGTTTATAGTTCAGCCATTGATTGTTCAATCATATGCAAAAAATCAACTCAAACAAATCTTGTTGTAGAGAAGAAATAAACATTGTAATTCTTGCACCTTTTTCTTTCTGAAATTAACTAAAGAAATGGAGAAAAAAAGAAAAGTTGGAGGAAGGAAGAAAGAAGAGAACTAGAACTGATGAGAACAAACGACCCAAATACATTGGTCTGTCGGGTCATGATTTGTAAATGGGTTTCTAGATTAAGTGGGTTATTTATTTTGAAATGGGTAGAGAACATCCATGTCACATTTGCCATTTTTCCGTTAAAAAAGGGCAAATTTAAACATTATAAAAACGTTAAGGGCATTTTTAAATCAAAAGGTGGAAGGAGGGCATATTTGAACCATTTAAAATACGTTGAGGGCATTTTTAACCCTTTTCCCAATTTTATTTTGTTTATAAATAATTTCAATGTAATTTCCTCTACTCAAAACTCATTACATTTCTCAGCAAAACCAATGAGTACAACTTATTAAAGGGAAATTACGGGCGGTCGAAGCGGGACTTCTTTGAGAAAAAGAACTTGAATAAGTTTGTTTTTCTGAAGGAGTCGTCATTTTCTATCAGGAACGCTATAAGATTTGATTATAAAATAGTATATTTTCTAAAACCTTAGAGATAGAGTGAAAGACGGTAACAAACTAATTGTAAATTAGCTTCATCTTTCTGAGATGAAAGTAGAGAGAGTGGAGAGATTAAATTAGAAAAGTGAAAAAAATATTTCAACTGCCCACCTGTTCTGCTCCGTTTAATTTCTTAAAAAAATACTTTAATCCGCCCTATCCCTACATGAGGTTAAACCCATCCTGCCTCACATAGACTTATATCTACCTTGCCCCATTATCAGTCCTAATTGCTAATTTAGTATATAGATAAAATGATTGTAATATAGTTTGTCATCAGGACAAAGCTATGTAGTTACGACCCTCGAACAAAAGTTCTATAGGAAATTTGGCTAAGTTGTGAGTGATTAATATCGACTTTAGTAAAACAAATCGAAGATATATGAGTTAATGTCGTAAAATTGGTACATTGATGAAAACATCTCTTAATCACTTGTGTGTATTTAATATCAATAATCTTCAAAGAGTGATTATATACAAAAAAAAAACCTTCAATTTTAACATATGTTGTGTATTCATATTCTGGCAAAATGTGGAACAATAAAATAAGAATAAAAAAAATATAAATTTAGAAGAAGAAGAAAGTAGGGAAAAGAGAAAAGATTTCTTATTTATCTTGAAGTATATTCAGGATTCATTGATCTTTCACAAATCTTATTTACAATGAAGGAAAACCCTTTATTTATAGGGAAAACCTTACTTGGTCCCAAGTAGGATTCCTAACCATATCCTACAAGGACTCCACATAATTAGACATTCACTATAATACAAGTTGTTTATAACACTCCCCCTTGAATGTCGGTAGATTATGTGCCTCGTTAAAACCTTACTAGATAAAATCAGTAGGAAAAAATCTAGTGAAGGAAAAAGAGTACACATATCTAGTAATACGCATTATGGATGCCTCATTAAAAACCTTACAAGGAAAACCCAGTGGGACAAAACCTTGTGAGGAAAAAAGAGTACATCACGTATTAACTTCCCCTCATGAAAACATCAAGAGACTTGTTTTCCAATCTTGAGCATCATCTTCTTGAAAGTTGTAGTTGGTAGAGACTTGGTGGATAAATCAATTGTAGTATTGCTTGAACAAACATGTTGCATGTTGATATCACCATTCTTGGGAGCTCATGAGTGTAGAAAAACCTTGATGAAACATGCTTCCTTCTATCTCCTTTCGTGAATCTTTCTTTCAGGATCAAAGATTTCTGCAAGTTCCTTACTTCTACTTCTTTAAGCAAATAATCTATTGCCTTTTGAAAACTCTTCAAGAGTTTTAATTCTAGTCGTCAACTTGCATAACATCATAAAGTGTTATGTCGTAGGCTCTCCAAGAGCATATTGTATCCTTATTATGATCATTTTGATTCTTTGATCCTTCCCCTTTTTCAATGATTATTATATTTAGAATTGATTTGTCTATCATGCTTCATGCATGTCATAGATTTTATCCTTAAGGGACATTCAATAGGAGCATTTACAACTTTTGTGTTGTTTTTAATCTCCCCCTTATGTTAGACAAACTAACATGTATCTCAATCTTTTGGAGAATTTATCTTTGTGCATCATAGTATATTCATTAATCATATATTGCACATTAAAATTATCAGATGAAAACTATTTGGTCCCTGACCATAAACCAATTAATAGAAAAATTGATCATAACTTATTGGTTTGATTCATACAATTATGTTTGTATGTAATATTATATTTCAGATCAACACATGAAACTTTATTTTCATAAGCAATGATTCACTATGTGAGACATTTAATGTCACATCATCTTATATATTTATCAATATTATCAAGATGCATTATCTTGATTTCATATTCTGAAAGTTATGCTTTTAGCTCAATTATCTTGCACAAACAATTTTGCGAATGTCAAACTGCAAGTTGACAACAAACGCACATGTGATTATCTCATTGATGCATCTTTTTATCATAGTACATGATAGGTAAACAGGTCCATATTCACATTTTATACTTTTCAGAATTTAGGGATTTAGTCCCAACTTTAGTTGATCCAATCAACTTTATCACGAGAACAAGCAGCGTAAAGAATTCTGGAAGAATCTTCTAGTTTTTCAATGTATGTCCATTACTTAGTAAGCACATCTTTAGGATGATCAAATTATTCATGTCAACTAATAAAATTAGTAGTACTCATAAACTCCAAGTTTACTACGCCATGTGCCTTTTGCTTTAGTAAATTTCTGATTTACTATTATATGAGTAAATTTCAATTTTATTACTGCAAGAGTAATTTTTAGATTTACTTCTTCTCAATTACTTTACCCTTTAGGTCAGTCGTGATTCAATCATTGAATGAACTAACCTAAAGAAAATTGTGCATGTAAACATATTATTTGTGCCAACATTATTGTAAACATCAAGTTGCGAGATAATAATAGACACACATGAGATCATATAGAAGAAACATTTGTTAGGATCATTAAATATCTAAACAATCCACTTGGTGGATGACTAGGTCCACAAATATCTGTATACGTTCCTAGAACGCAGAAAATTCAATCTCAACTTTTGTTTATGGTGGTCTCACAATTAGTTTGCCTTGCTAACAAGTAGTACAAGAAAAATCACCATTTAAAAGAACTTTAAGTTTCTTCCATGAAAGTCCATTTTAATTTTCTATAATTCGTCTAAACTTTATAGACTAACGATGTCCCGGACAATCGTGTCAAACTAAGAAAGTATAGGAATTAGTAAATTTCTTATTTACCATAGAATGTGCCTCAATTGCACTAATTTTTATCCAATACACGCTTGAAGATAAAGTATGAAACTTTTCTATAATACATGTCTTCTTAGAGACATTCTTGGTGATACCACATCATTGATCAAAGATCGCAATTTTTCACATGCCTAGCATGGTGGCTTACATCTCATTCCCTTTAGCGAATGGATCCATATTTTAGCATTTATCAGAAGTTCTCATTCTTCATGAATGGAACACAAACACGTGAGCTTATCAAATTATGATAGCTTTAGTACCTCATTTCATATTTATGTGCATTATTCAATCACTTGTCTTCTTCAGACATATATGCACTAATATTACATTCACTTTTGTAATGGAGTAAATTCAGTAAATTTCATGACTTTTCATCTAAAACACATTAGTTTTTCTTTAGTCATTATTATATCATCAATATGGTGCATTAAGACTTAAATTCAATGTCTTATCCATATAAAAGTGTCTTAGGTCATAAATCGACGGGTCTTGCACCCAATATCTTATCATCATGGTGCATCAGGACTTTAACCCAATGTCTTACCCTCTTTGTGTGATTAGACATAAATCTATCGTCTTATTCTTATGATGCGATAAAACTTAAATTTATCGTCTTGCCCATAATGAGGCTTAACCTCAAGCCTTCAGAATATTTGTAATTTTACCACTTTTGATGACCATTAATATGATCGTACATTATAATTACACATAATTGAGATTATTGAATTCTTATAATCAACATTAGTAGTTAATAAATATAGCTTAATAGATTACATACCTCGTATAAAGGTTGAAAACATATCTTTCACTAAATTGTGCTTATTCAATTATTAAAATAAATTAAGAAATTTTCTTCTCAATCGATTAAAATTAAACGTATAAAAAGTCAACAAGTCACTTTAAATTCTTACGTTAGATGGTACCTCCAGATCTGTTACATAAATAATTATAACATAAAGATAAATCATACCTTGAAGATATAAGAACTTTATTGCATAACTTATGCAAGATCTCTTTTGTACTTTTCCCGTCTTCTTCATAATTCTTTAAGAATAAAACAATCGTGGTGATAATATGTTATGAAATTATATAAAATTTAGAAGAAGAAGAAAATAGGAAAAAGAGAAAAGATTTCTTATTTATCTTGAAGTATATTCAGGATTCATTAATCTTTCACAAATCGTATTTACAATGAAGGAAAACCTTCATTTATAGGGAAAACCTTACTTGGTCCCCAAATAAGATTACTAACCATATCCTACAAGAACTCCACATAATTAGACATTCACTGTAATACAAAATTGTTTATAACACATTCCATATTTTGTCTCTCAAATGTGTTAACAATCACAAAGTGAAAGCCGAACAGTAGAAATTAGTTGATCTGGTCTAAGTAATCAAGATACCAGAATGAAAGTGGAATATATATTTTGTGATTGGCTAGCGTCAAACTTTTAAGAAATGCATTATGCATATCCATAAGTATATTAACTTTGTCGTTAACTGGTAATTTTGAGTGGTATAAAATTAAATAAATAGACATATTCATTCTATATGACATTTTATATTAAAGTTTTATGTTTTTTATGACGTTATACATGTATTATATCATGTAACACATTATATATTTATTTATTTTATACAAATTTGAATTACCTGTACAATAAATTCAAAATTAAAAAATATAATTATCCGCTAAAATTAAATTAAAAATCATATTTATGTAATATGTCAAACGAAACAAAGACCAAAGTCAAAACCAGTAACAAATTGTTTATTCTTTAATTATTATTTTAAAAAATTCTTCTCAAGACTCGGTTAAAAGTCTTTTTCTGCCACTCCATTAAGTTAAAGACCGACTAAAATACATGTGATGTGTGGCCAAGAGCAAGCATACACAATGGGCTGTGTTAGGTTTAATTCAAATTATTTTAATTTTTTTTAAAATTTGATCCATAAGTAAATAATATTATTTGTAAAATATTTTATATATTATTTAGATAAATATTATCAAAGGTGGATGAAAAATAATAAAGAGGACACAATTAATACAAAAATGAAAAATAATAAAGAGGACACAATTAATACAAAAGATTATTTTTGAAACTTATTTTCACTATATTCCTTAACATTCAGAGACGTTTTTTTCATTTTTAATAAACATAATCTATTAAAAAAAACATCTTCCTTTTGTACCAAACAGACCAAACAAGTCATACTTCTCCACTCAGAATAAGTTAATACATGAAAATTCAATTGAAAATTCTTCACCTCTTCGTTCTATATTTTTTCTCTATAAATACCAATCATTTTCTCAATTATAATTAAAAAGAAAATTAACAAAATGAGGCTTTTAGTATTGGGTTTGTTTAGTGTTTTGTGTCTAAAATGTGTTTTATCACAAAATATTAGTAGTCTTATTAGTAAAAATTTATTTGAGAGAATACTTGTGCATCGAAACGATGCTGCTTGTGGTGCGAAAGGTTTCTATACCTATGAAGCTTTTATAACAGCAACTAAAACATTTGCTGCCTTTGGAACTACTGGTGATACTAATACTCGTAACAAGGAAATTGCTGCCTTTTTGGCTCAAACTTCTCATGAAACTACGGGTACTATTTTATATGTCTCAATTTATGCGATTTTGATTTTTGAAAGTAGCATAGGTGTTTATGACAATTTTCGAATATTAATTAGGTGGATGGGCAACAGCACCAGATGGACCATATTCATGGGGATATTGCTACAAACAGGAACAAGGAAGTCCTGGAGATTACTGTGCTTCAAGTCAGCAGTGGCCTTGTGCTCCTGGCAAAAAGTATTTTGGTCGAGGTCCTATCCAAATTTCATAGTAAGACTAACACTCGTTTATTAATATTTTCATAATTCTAACCAGTTATCGAATTTTACACTATTGTCAATTTATTGTAATTAACTTGTTGTAAACATGTAATTTATCTTGTTCTTTAGGTTTTTAATTATCCCTTTTTCTTTGGATGTATAATTTTTTTTTTGTTTAACTTTTCTAAAAAGATATCTTGGAAAATATATTTAATTTCTTTCCCTATCAAACAGAGTTAGAATAGATCGGTAGCTGAAAGGCTAAATATGTTTTGTGGAATCCCCTCCGGTCAAAGTCAAAATGCACAAAGTATTTCCGAAATGCCCTAATCTATAACCAGAACATCAGAGACATATCTGAACTAATTATAGGGTTCTATTATTTTCCTGAACTCTTTTTTTTTTTAATTTTGTGCATCTTTTTAGTTTATGTGGCATTCAAATATCTGTCACGCGCTTCAATTGCATGAAGTCACAAAATATGTCAGGTAAGACAAAAGATGTTCAAAATTACAAAAAAAAATAAGTTCAAAAATAATGGGATCTTATTATAATTAGGAAAATGCCTCTGATATTTCGATTATAATCTAAAAATTATTTATACTTTATCCCAAAAGATAATATATGTAAATAAAGAATGAAATAAATAACATCTATGTAAAGCCCTTTTTGTTACAGTCATAATAATAATATTAATAATGTTATACAGCAACTACAATTATGGGGCAGCAGGGAGTGCAATAGGTGTGAATCTGCTAAACAACCCAGATTTAGTAGCCAATGATGCAGTAGTGTCATTCAAAACAGCGTTGTGGTTCTGGATGACAGCACAACAGCCAAAACCATCGGCACACGATGTCATTACTGGAAGATGGAGTCCCTCTGTTGCTGATTCTGCCGCTGGCCGCGTCCCGGGCTTTGGTGTAATCACTAACATCATCAATGGTGGAATGGAATGTAACAGAGGTTCAAATGCACTAATGGATAACAGAATTGGGTTCTATAGGAGATATTGTCAAATTTTGGGAGTTGATCCTGGTAATAATTTGGACTGTGCTAATCAAAGGCCATTTGGATAAAAGGCAACTTAATTAATTTTACTACAATAAGTTGCTGCTTTAATTTATATGTGTGATCCATATTTAGTACGTGACACATTAATAAGGTTTGGTCCATCTAAACTGTGTATTAGTTCGTTTGTGTTCTATAATGGAACTTCCATTTTGTCACGCAGGCGAAATAAAGTTAAAGTTTTATGCATTAATCAATTTTATCAAGAGTTCGTAGTCAAAAGGATAAATTTTTTCTTTAAAGAAAAACTAAAACGGCACATAAAAAAAAATTAACCAAAAGGGTAAAATGGATTCGTGGGAAGCGATTTTGTTCTGATAAAAATCCGTCGTTACAAAAAAATATAAATCGCTATCTTTGAAGCGATTTTCTAAAAAAAAAGAAACTTCTTTCTTCAAGAATTAAATTATTTTTTTAAAAAACCCGCTATATTGGATAAATTGGGAATTTCTTTTTTTATAGGTTTAATCTTGCCCCTTTTGAACTTTCTTTTAGATTCAATTTTATTATTATTTATGATATAAAATTCAATTTACCTCATGCTTCAATAATTTTGTTGAGTACATTGTCCTTCTCATTAATTATTTTTATATTATTAAGGGATAATGCCCAAGTATCCCCTCAACCTATGCCCGAAATCTCAGAGACACACTTATACTATACTAAGGTCCTATTACTCCCTTAACTTATTTTATTAATAATTTTTTACCCTTTTTTAGCTTACGTGGCACTATCTTGTGGGCCAAACGATGATTGACTTTTTTTTCGAACTAGTGCCACGTAGGCTAAAAAGGGGTAGAAAATTACATATAAAATAAGTTCAAGGGGGTAATAGGACTTAGTATAGTATAAGTGTGTCTCTGGGATTTTGGGTATAGGTTGAGGGGGTACTTGGATATTTTTCCTATTATTAATAATTAACCATAGGAAAGAAAATTAATAGCACATTAAGAATAGGCATAAAAACGCTGTCCATGCAGCGATGTAAGAAAAACAAAAATCGACTTAAAATTGCTGCTACAGTAACGATCTTTAATTAAAAAAACAGTTTTTAGACAAAATCGCTTTAGTCATTGTGTCAAAGAAAAATCGCTTTGTCAGGAGCGATTTTAACCTTTTGATTTTTAAAAAAATTAATGTATCTTTTTAGAATTTTCAATAATATTTTTTGCCTTTTTAACTCTGAACTCATATTTTCAAAGGCACTTTCGAGGTAAGTCTTGAAATGGGTTTTACAAAAATAGTTTTGAGCCTAAATAAAAGGTATAGACTCACAGGGCGTATACTTTAAAATTCAGAGGTGTAAGTTTCAGATTAGATTTTTACTATTTTAAGTTCTCCAGACTAGATATTAGTAATAAACTGGAATATTTTTTGCTAAATAGACAATGTCCATGTTATAACAATTCCACCTAAAGTGTAGTGGGTAGTGAAAAACAAAAAGAAAAATAGGGGTAGGTTGGTAGAGGGCGAAAGGGGGTAAAAATTAATATATTTTTTTGAAAAAAAAAAGATTTATCTTAATTTTTGGAAAATAAAAAAAATTTAGGAACAGATTGGTGGAAGGTCGGGGGTGGGGGTGCATGCAGGGAGGGGTAAATCCTTTTTTTAAAAAACAAATTTATCTAACGGGTGACCATTTTGTCCAAAACATATTTGACCAAATTCATATTTCTTCTTATTATATTTGGATGTATTATTATCCAAATTATTTTTCCTCAATTCATATTCCACACATTTAAATCCGATCCAATCCAACCATTTGTTATTCCTGAAACAGAGGGAGTAGCAGTAATCTTTTAAAAAGTTCTTTTTATAAGAGTTAAATTACGAAAAAGACAAATATCAATGCAGTTTTAATATAAAGATTATTCTATAGAGAGATGATTTTAAATATCTATTATTAAATCACTAATTAATTTTTTTATTTTTGTGAAATTAAAATGTACATATTTAAATTTTTAATAAATATTATATATAAAATTAGTAATTAAATATTAATGTAATATTAACATGATTATTTAATGTTTAAATTCAAAATGATGAGCCTTTTTGTTTTTTACTTATAAACTTATGTGTCAAATTTTACATTTTTAAAAGATGAAAACCTAATTAGAAATTCCAAAATACTTTCTTTTTTTTTAGAATTTGAGGTATGACATCATAATTCTAAATCACATATTCAAACACTAAGTTAAAATCATGACTCCGTATCATATATCGAAATGCAATCTAAATTAGTGTTTGCCCAAGTTCTCAGATATTCTTGGCAAATCATATTTGGTGAAAGTTTCACCATGTATCGATTCTAACCCCAAATTTTTTTTAAAAATATTTGACTATTTAAAAAAAATATGATTTATTCTAAAAATTATTTAAAAAATACTCATATATTTATATTATCATTTTATAATGAATATGTCTCATTGCATAATAACCTTAAAATATAATTAATAACAATAAATAATAAACAAAATAACAATATAGGTAAAATAATACATTAATCGTGAATTCAAATTTATTACTAACTAGTGAAACTATTCGCGCTACGTGCGAGTATATAAAATATTTATAAGATAATAACATGAAATATATAATATTTAGGTTATTATCGAATATATTAGATGATATTAATATTTTTTCCTCGTCTGCGATATCATAGACTTTTTTTAAACATATAAAACATATTTATTTATATCGTGTGTGTGTGTGTGTGTGTATATATATATAAAAATTATTCGCCGTGGTGAAATAAATGTAATAAGAGATAATATGTTGAATAACAATATATTGTATTAGGTTGAAAATATTTTATATGTTTTAGTTTTCTATATCTTTTGTAGGAGTACTAATTTTCTATCTTTTGTAGCAATACTAATGTTCTATTCAAACTCTGATTTCATCAAAATAAAATTGATTTTTAAAATTTTATTATAACATTTACTTATTATAATTTTTTAAATATTAATTAAATATTTATAAGACTTACGAAAAATAAAACATATAAAAGTTATGAATAATATTTAATATCAAATGTTACAAGTAAGATGAAGAGACATGAGTTATAAATAATTCAAATATATAATTTTATTAGACAATAAATGCATTACTAATTATGTATTGATTTTATTTGTAAAATAAATAAATAAAAATAAGGGGTGAAAATCCAAAAAATGAACGGAGAAAATATAATAATTGGTGACTACATAAAAATTATAAATACATTTCGAAGCAAAAAAAAATGGTGACAGATTGTTACATACACAAAAAATGACATCATAAAAATAATATTTTATTTTTTAATTACTTTTTATAATTATAATAAAAATGAAACTAATCATCGTAAAAAATTTTTTTGTTGTTGTTGTTAAAATGAAAAAATTATACTAATTTTTTCATAACAAAAAGAAAGTAGATTAATAAAGGATCAAATAATTAGCATTGACAATATAATACATTTAGCTAAATTATTTATATAAATCAAAATTTAAAAAACTCTAGCAAAAGTAACTAAGTTGCTAATACAATTCAAAGTGAAAAAATAATCTTTATTTATGCTTCATTTTTTCCCCCTTCTACCATCTTCTTTTTCAAAGAGATCCGCCATCATGTTTTGATCCATATGTCAAACTCTTCATTATATGCAACCAACTAAATTAAAAAAATCATATACCAATTAAAAATAATTATGTCAAAAGAAAGAACAAAATATAAACTATATTTAATATATTTGTTTATTATCTTTTCAATAGTACTAACAATACTAAATAATAATTATTTCTTGAAATCTAACAAATATTATAATCAAACTATATTAAATCTGAAAAACTAACTATTAGAAAGAGCAATTGCATACGGATAACACATTGTTAAGAATTACAGAGATTTTTTCAATTATACTTACTTGATAAATTATAGTACAAACATAAAAAAAATTAAGAAAGCATGTCTAAGTACATAAAAATAAAAAGAAAGACTTTAGAATGAAATATATTTTACCTTCATATACTTTTTTTTTATTGCATGTTAGTTAATTTACAAAAAAAGTATGATGAAGAAAAGAAATAATAACTTTGTATGTGAATCTTCATGAAAATAAATATGAATTTATATAAACAAAATAAAGGAAATGAAAAAATAAGGACTTGAGAATGATATATTTAATAACTCCGTGTACTTTTTTTTTGGTTACATGTTAGTTTCATTCACAAACCAAATACTAATTAATATAGACAAAAATAAAAAATAAAAATTTGCAATGAAATATTTCTTACTTTCATGTACTTTTTTGTTGTTACAAATCAAATCTATATGATGAAAAGAGAATGGATAATTGTGAATGTGAATCTTCATTAAACTAATATGAATTTATAGGCAAAATAAAGGAATGCCATAAGACATCATAAACTCACAAATTTAATTTGGAGGTTATGGACATAAAAATTATGAGAGTTATGAATATTATTAAAAGTAAAAATTAAAGAGGGGCAAGTCATGATTAATAACTCCTTGTGAATAAATAAAAATAAAAATACTTAAAATGTAAAAAAAATTATTATGATTTCATGATTAGGAGAAACAAATAGAAAAAAAATATAGAGAGTTTTTCAATAAATGTTTCTACATTAATAAAATATTTATTTGTATAAATAAAGTAATATATTTTTATATTAAAATAATTAATTTCAATTTAAAAAAGTCCAAAAATAAATAAATTATATTTCTCCTTTTATTATAAGTGAGATAAATAAATAAAAAAGATGGAGAGTTTTTGTTATAAACGATCCTCTATTAATAAACTATTTATTTGTAATAAATTTTAATAATCCTTTTTATAATATAATAATTAATTTTTTTAAAAAAAAAGCAAAAAAAAAAAACTAACTGCAAACAGAGATAATAAAGAGGTGCCACATCACCTTGTCTATGGTCCTCGTTTATATTTATATATTGATTCAGTTACATAAATATAATTAACCGATGGACTGTATCACATTTGATTTGATAAAGAAGCCATCATAACTCAAAATAATTAGGGAACATGAAGATTCCTAAACATCAAACTATGTGATTACAATTATTTTCCACAGAGTCAATATAATAATTCGAACATTAGAGGAATATGCAATTACTTAAAGTCTTCTATTTTCAGGATTAAGAAAATAGAGTCCACAAGTCTTGCCCTGTACTCC